CCCCATAATATACAAGAGTAAGACTTCATTTTAAGCTATTATACTATCACCTCTATGTACATTACACAAACACATGTAAATCAGGACAAAAATATTTTTTGAAATCAAATTAATGAATGTTATAGATATTTGATTTTTAGAATGTCATTTGGTATTTTTCTGGTTCTGAGATGGCAAAACCCTTTGCTGAAAGGAATATTTCTGGGGGTAAGGGGGGGCAGTTCTGGTGGCAAAGGTCAGGGGTTAGGGGGCAGGACTTCTGGTCACAAGATGGCAACCAGGAGGTGGGGCACCTGTAAAGGGATGGGGCTACCCACATGGCTCTCAATAGCTTGCTAAAACTTGGTAAGTGGACCTGAAATAGTTGCCCGCCCCTGCTCTAGATACTACCCAGTTCAATGCTCTCTCTCTAAAACTTCTACTCATGCCACTGTCAGAGAAAGGATACTAGGCTAGATGGACCATTGGTTTGACCCTGCATAGTACTGCTGATGTTCTTATTTGAAAAAGAGTTTTTTCCAGCCTCAGCTTTGGTCCCCAAATGAGGAGCTGTTTTGTTTGGTGTCTCATTTCAGTTAATGAAAGCCAGTGGGTATATCCACATGCTGTCATCCTCAGAGAAGGAAGAGAACCCTACAGTACTGGAAACACTTTGGGCACTGATGGAAGTGACATTTGTCATGCAATCGGTTCCTTGAAAGTGCTCTATAGGTGTGCCCTGACAGAAGTGCACGGCTGCAGAGCACTTTAAAAGTGCCCAATTGTATGAAAAATTAACCCTCATTACATGAAGGTTCAGATGAAGGCACTACAGAGTGGAGCGCCTTCATTAACTTTGGTCTGATCGGGGCTGTGCTGATGCAGCCCACCCCTTCTCCTGGTGCCATTTGCATGATGGGAGGAAGTGAAAGGAAGGGAATTGAGCTCTGGGCTCAGGTTTGCCCAGCCTGTGCCGGAGGAGGGGTGGGGGCAGCTGGATTGGAGCCCCCCCTGAGGCAGGGGGGGCTCCAATCCACACCCCCCCAGTCAAGTTGGACAAACCCCAGCATAGAGATCCACCCTGTCCTTTCCACCCCTCCCATCATGCAGACAGCACCAGAGCTGGTGTGGGGGCAAGGGGTGGGCTAGGAGACAGAGGCTGCAGACATGAAAGTGGAGCTCAATATCTCCCCCTCCCCCGCCCCTGCAACCCAAGAGGGAATGTCTGTTGGGTCGGGGGTGGGGGGTGTCACTATAACTCGTGGCACTTTCTGTGAAGTAAGGAGCTGCACATTGTTCAGCGCTTTCTCTGCTACTGTAGTAGAACTGGCCTCTGAGGGTGGCTGTGGCACCCCTAGTGGCCACCCTAATGCTGCCCCATTGCAACCCCCCAGTGTGTACTCCCTTGTCACCTTGCTTGCCACACCTTGGAGTATATGAATTGGGAGGCTGCCTCCCAGTCTTGGAGTGATTCTGGTTGCACGTAACTGACTGAACCAGATGCTTGGTCCTGTTAGTCTCTCTGGACCTGCAGTCTGCTACCAAAATTGTTTTGTGCCCTGCTGGCACTTTTCCTGCTGTCATTTGCCCTACGGTGGGGCCTCCACCTCCCCTGTAGCCACAGTCCAAAACCTCCAGTCTTTATCATCCTACAGTAATCCAAACCCCAATATTTTCTATTGTTGCTGGCTGCCTTTCCCCAGGCTCTTATTCTGCTTGGCTAGCCTCTCTCCAGCTCTCACCCTCCTGGACCTACTCAAGGTTCCCACTGACTCATCTCTGTGCCAGAAGCTCCTTCCAGTAGCACAGCCTGGACCAGACTGCCTGCCCTGGCTCCAGAACAGAGCTGATATCTCTCTGGGCTCCATCCCTTCTGGGTCAGGGGCTCATGACCAGCTCCACGTGTGGCCCATCCACTCCATGAGCAGCCTGCCCACCTCAATTGTATTTGGCTCAGCTGACCGGAAGTCCTTCCCTGGGCTTTCTTCTGGCTGCTAACTCTAATGCAACTGGCCTTAGTTCAGTTGTGTCCAGCAGAATACAGCTCTATCCCATTGGTTTCCCCTTGTGCTGTAACAGCGGCCTTGGCTCCTTACAGATATTCAATGTCTGAGTTCTTACTGTAATCACCAGTTGGTTTTTGCCTTGTGCTTAGTTCACTCCCCCAGACACTCCATCCACCCCTAGTTCAGCGAAAACAAATCCTGGTATAATTAAATTAATAGCACCAATTACCTTAATAGCACAGCAGAAGTAACCCATTAGCCCAGTCTGAGAGAGCACAAGCTATAGATTTACAGCAAAATGATCCAGTGAAGCAAGTCAAAGGGTTGTACTTTGACATCAATCCTGCTTCTCAGAGACAGCAAATGACAGTAGGCCATCCCTGGTAGGCAACACTGGCACTGCAAGCAGTGCTTTGTTCTCTGCAGCTCTGTCCACTGGCAGCAACAAGCTGAGTGGCTTAATTGTGTTTAAGTCATTCTGAGCTGCAACGGAAAAAAAGAAAAGAAAAAGAAAAGGAAGGTAAACTCAGAAGTCGTGCAGCCCAGACATATTTTTACCTAGGATGTGAACCAAGTCAAACTGAACTTTTTTGAGGTTCATAGTTCTGTCCTCTGGTTTTCTTCTCTACTAATGTTTTTTTTTCTCCATGTTCTTCCTGGTTCTGTTTAGGAGAATTGGCTTACATTCATGTGGGGTTAATGACATCAAACTGGAGGCAGTAGGCACTAGAAATCTTGATCCCATTCTTGTAAGATTTCCAGGCCAAATAAAAGATCTTAGAAAACTGGAATGAAGCCTGGCTCTGAGCACACCTCAGACATTGGGATGGTCTCATCCAAGCTTCGCAGCTGATACTCATCTGCAGGAAAAATCTGACCTTTGGATTGCACATCTCGATTGAGCTGTTGAGCCATGCGAGACTTGCCCAACACTGACTGACTGTCAGTGTAATGGTTGTGCCCCCCATCCTAATTGAGGATACTTCCAATGGAAAGACCAAATGCCGGTGCCACCAAATTCTCAGGAATCCTCCTGCCCTCTTTGTCTTATAAACTGCCCTTTGGTTGCGGGATTTGTATAATCTGCCTGCAACCTTTTTACCCTTGTATAATGCCAAGGCCCTTTTCTGGGTGTTGCTAACTTACATGCTTTGACTTCACACCTTACGCAAATTTATGTTAACTTTTGTACATGCTTTTACCAAGACACATTCTAGAAGAGCTTTGTGAGTCTGTTGGGGAGAGATACAGGGAACCTCAGCCACATTTATGCTTCCCCACCAGGTTCCCAGCATCCAATAACCTTGGATGCAGAAGTCCTTCCAGAGGTCATGTCTTCCACGTGGCAGAGGTTTGTGCTGTCTCCAGAGTCACCGGGCTGCCTCAAGGGAATGGCAGTCTCAACTGAGTGTTTTTTTCCAAAGAATAGGAAAGGAACTGAAGCCCATGGAGAAGAGTCACAGGAAATAACAAAAATATTTCTATAGAAATAGCAGCCTCTTGATTCTTGTTTGTCTGGAAACCATTAGAGGGTGAAGACCAACATCTGCCTCCAATTAACAGAGAGGAGGAACACCAGAAAACTCTGTCATGTCACTTTAAATCTGTGAAAGGAGGAGCTCTCTTCCTCCATCCTTTGAGATCATCCATGTGTTTATAACTCTGACTCTAAAGAAATCCTGGGGCCTATGAGCAAAAGCACTAGAAGCCTGGAGCTCTCAGCAGAGACTCAAGTAGGATGTGAAGGGTCTTCATTTTGAAGGCACTCAGCCTGCGTGGGACTTGGCTTTTAAAAAGAAGGCAGAGCCAAGCCTTCACATGTCCTCCTCCTTCTCACACAGGAAGTGGAGGAAATGAAAACTGCTTATTTCTCTGATGCTCAACACTTCTTGGCTTTGCTTTGAGTTCAGCTGTCCCTTGTGGACAGGGCCACCTCTTCACTACTACAGGAAGACAAACAGGGAAAGAGGCACATGGGCATCCTTTTCCCAATCCTTTACTGATGTCTGGAGCAATGAATACGATGGGATCTCTCTTTCTTTCTTCCAAAGGAAGGGTGCTGATGTGAGATGTTACAATGTAACAGTTTCTGCCGGATTCTTTAGCCATGCTACTCCAACTTTTGTGGGGTTTAATTCAGGGCCATAGCTAAAGCAATATAGCTCATATAGCTCTACAGCTGCTGGCAGACATGGAGGGGAAAAAAAACAATGCTGTACCAGAAAAGAAAGAGTATTAGTTTGACCCAGCTCCCCAGCATCCATGTGAATTGAGTACTTCAGCTGGGCTTTTTGGCACTTTTATCTGACTCAATCAACTATTAGATAAAAGCACCAAAAAGCCCCGCTGAAGCTCTCAATCTATACAGATGTTGGGTGAACCAGGTCAAATTAATGCAATGCCTCTTCTGGCATTTTCTCCAGAGCTGCCGCCCAGCCAATCAGTCCCTAGGCTATACTGGTGCATGGGATTGTTCAGTCCTAAGTACAGGACTTTGCACTTCTCCTTATTGAACCTCATGAGATTTCCTTTGGTCCAATCCTCCAATTTATCTAGGTCTCTCTGATCCGAACCCTACAATCCAGTTTGGCATCAGACGCCATTTACTCAGCAGTCTTACCTGAAGAGATAGGTGTGGGCTATGCAAGCAACAGAAGCTGTTTTCAAACAAGAAACAGAGGCTGTGGTTCTGGGAAATGTCTGTGCTGCCTCCATAGCACAGGCCCCTGCTTGAGGGGTGGGGACTGGAGCGTGTAGTTGAGTAGTTGCACCCATGCCCGCTGATGCCTGCTTTCTCTGATACCTTCAACAGCATTGGTGGGATCTGTCTTGTTCCATTGCCCAGTACTCTTCAGCAGCCTGCTATCCAGGCACCGCAGCTCTGGGCTTGAGGGCACTGCTTCCCCTCTGAACCTGTGGGGCACAGCTACACTTTGGCCCACAGTGTTAAGGTGTAGACATGTGATGCCTTGGCAATGGCATGGATCTGAGCTGCCAATGGCCAAGATCCTTCCTGTTGAGGAATGCATCAGGGTGATGTGGGGTGTCTGCTCTGTTATTTTAAATGCAGGATGCCCTGAAGGGAAGTTTGGTGTTAACTGTTTGCAGTCCTGCTCCTGTGGGAGTTCTCCTTGTGATCAAGCTACTGGGAAGTGCCGCTGCCTGCCTGGCAAGACAGGACATGACTGTGGCAGAGGTAAGAAAACTACAGGAAAGAGAGAAAGTCAAGACAGGCTTGCATTTCTGATTTGGGGGAGGCTTTTATTTTTGTTACATTCTAATGAAAATCTCTTCCAGGAGCTTCTTTTGCGTGGAAGTCATACTCACACTCTGCGTCTTTATTTCAGGGTACAAAATACAGGTAGTTCAAACCAGCCACCCCAGAATAAAGTGTAAAACATTTCTTA